AATAGCATGATCTTCCGTGAAAGACATGTAAATTTCCCCTAGCCAAAAGAATTACTAGATTGACTTCAAACAACCATCCGTGCACAGTATTAGATAACTTCCTGGCTAATACAACAGCAGTCCAACAACTTTCTTATTTGTATTTTTTTAGTGATTATTCCCAGGATCGAGCGTACTCTTTCTTATATCATCACAGAACTGGATGAACGAGAACGAGAGGAGTTCTACCGGTAAATATGTAAAACAAGGCTAGACTGGTCTCTTTTTCTCAAATAGACCATTCCTCAGAAGGGACTTACGAGACCTATCACAAAATCTGGCAGCGAAGACTATTAAACGTGACCTGGTTCTTGCTGCACGTTGAGTTTCCAAAGTGGGGCACTTGGAGATCTGCAATTACTTGTCATAAAGTTACAAATGAATCCTTACCACTAGGTTGTACATAGCTGTCATTATCATTCTTCCAGAGGAATAATGGGATAGAGTACACTCAGGTGTTCTGCTTTAAGGACACCTCTGCCATAGACATCAGCATTCTGGGCTACCTGAAGCAAAAATATCAAACCTGAAATGAATTAAAGGAGAATTAACTTCATTAAAGACAAGCAGAGTAGTATAATGCAGTGTTTAAGGTCAAGAATATAATTTATAGTTTGGATGAAGAAATGAGTTAATCTGCAGAGATGAAGTTTTTCAATGGCAGCAGCTAGCGATAAAAGGCTTTTGCCATTTGTAATAGGATTTCCTAGGGAACTTCTCCGGGCAGCTTTATCATATCCAAGTTGTATGGCATCTTTGCTGCTAGCCTGTTTTATGAAAATGTATTTGTTTCACAGATAAACCACATTTCTCTTCACAGGTTAAAGAAGATCCAGGAAAAGAAAAAAGTATTGAAAGAAAAATCTGAGAAAGAACGGGAGCTGCGGAGGGCTGCTGGTGGGGAATGTGAACCAGCCAATCTCTTAGCAGAAGAGAAGGATGAAGACCTTCTCTTTGAGTAACCCAGCACAGTTATACATGGAGCAGGGGACCCAGAATACAGAATGTCCATTTGCAATATAATTCAGGACATGTTGCCTCAATGATACTTACTTCTCAGTGGTGTGTAAGTCTCGCGTTGAATGGATTGTGGATTTCTCCTGGGAGATTAGAAATCTGGGATCTTGACTGCAGCATAGGAGGAAAAGGAGAGATGAGTCAGGTGCTTTACTATCAGGAAAGCCTTCTATTGCATGTTCAGCCTGTTTCTTCATTTAGTAGGAATGACTGTCCATAGCTGTGGTTTTTGCAGGATGGCTCTAAATTTGCCTAACCAGATTCCTTTTTAATTGCTCCCCTTCCTAGTGCAAGCAGAGGAAAATGTTATTTAGGGAGGGAGACGCATGTAATGTTCTTTACTGCTGAACTATTAATTTTCAAGTTGCTTAAAGCAGGTATTGGCACAGCTGAAGTCAAATAGCAGTGAAGGCAACTCTAGTTTTCTACCCTGTTGATGAAATCCACCGTCTTCTGTGATGTATTTTTGTTGCACGATTGTTATCATTGGCCTAAAACATCTATGGTTTTAACTGGAGGTTCTGCCAACTTGTGTACTGTCTGTGCTAGAAACAAGTAAAAATTTTAGATGTTAAATATCTGATGTCTGGCTCAAGTTGCTAGAAGATAGTGGTCTTAAAAGCTTGTCATGTTGATTTCAAAATAAAACCTTCACTTCATTCCCTACCCCCAAATTAGAATCCACACTGGGCACATCACTTTCCAGCCTGTGCCCACATTCACTTAACCAAGGAGAAGTGGCTCCCTCCTGACACACATAGAAACTCTTCTCAACTATCCAGTTCCAAATCTTCGTTGCAACCAGTAGGTTGGCAAGCGAAGCAGGGTTGAATGTACAGTAGTTCATCCTTGCTGCGATTCTTCATGTCTTTTGCTGATTAGGGGAGTCTAGGAGACTGGCTGATAAGCAGGCTGTCACTGAATGCTGCTCAGTTTGAAGGGCTGTTTTCCTAAAGACATGGGTTTGCAATCGGCAAACTGAACACATGCCATAGTGGTGGTACTAATACATTGTCTCTAGTACTACTAGTCTCTTCAAGGTAAGCATCTTGTTTTAAACATGATCCAGCACTTAACTGCAGATGCAGGGTAAGTGCAAGGAAATTAATTTCTATTAACATCTTTAAAGAGTCATTTTATAATTGTATGAAGCAAAAGGCCATTTCTTTTCTCTTTTGAAGCTGAAGGCAGCACAGCTGAATGGTAAGTCCATACTCTGTTGTAAGATACACGTCCAGCTTGAAAGAGAGAAGCTGTAGATGACAGGACATGTTATCATGTCCTCTGGACGCATGGTGTCAGAAGGAACAGGGAACATCCTCTAGGGCACTCATGGGTCACAGCATCTTTCACACATTCAGCAAAATGGCAGAAAGACTCCACCCAAGATCCACTACAAGAAGTAAAATTGTACAGTGATTTATTTTAAATCTAGAAATATTTTACATTTTTACATTAGTGTGCAGTTCATGATGTCTCAAAATACAGAGTGCAGATACATGTATAAAAGTACGATGGGGGGCTAACCACAGGTCTCAGTAAAGTTACCTTAATTATTTAAGGCATTAAACCCCCCCATCTTATAGTTTAAAAAGTCACATATAATTACATTCAAAAATTCTTTTATGTGATTCAGCTAACATTTATTTTTAATTAAATCTGGACTGGTAAAAATGCAGATACCCTCATTTCAGTCTGATACAGCTCACTACAAAGCCTGTGATAAGGTTGAAGAGTTTCACCAGTGAAGTTTGCATAGTCTCTGTTACTCTCAAGGGAATTAACACACATTCTTCATTACGGCGGCAGAGTAAGTAACACAAGGTAGTTCCAGGTCCAAACTGGCAGCAGATGGACAGCCAGGTATATTTCTCAGTGCTGCTCAAGCCTTTCCTGTCAGCAGGAGACAAAGCTAACATTGGTTATAAACTATCATAGCACCTCTCTATATGGATGTCAGCAGGTACTCTGTGCCTTGGGAATTAAGAAGTAGAGCTGAACTTCAACATTCTTTAAGTCTACATTCAAAAGCTTATTTGTATAAAAACTGCTTCTGTACACCATTTCAGAAAAACTGGGGAGACAGACATTAGTCAAATACATTAATGACATGATTTATTGTGACTGACACTGCCTATGAACACTGAATAGCTAAGGGGTTCAGCAACCATCTTGAGCCGATTGTGACTGCAAGAATTTGGACAGTACCTACGTAGCTGAGCTAGGTTACCCTTAATGAACACATTTTACTGCTTTCCACCTTCTTGTCCAACTATGAAACAGTCAATACCAAAAAGCCTAATATATCTACAATCACCTTTCTTAAAAAAGGGTAGAATTGATACATTATTTTGTCATCTATGAAACGCTAACTATCCAATATACCTGAACATTGTAGTCGTCACAAACTATGAATTAAACTGAGAACGTGCCTGCAATGTGAGGCAAAAAGCCATTATTTTGAATATCCAGCCCTTAGGCCAACAGCTAGCACATTATTATTTCTAACACTGAATTGAACTAAAGATATTAAAGTTTCCAATGCCTTTTCTTTCTGAAGGGTCATTACTTATCCCCGCTAATTGCTTAATTGCTTTTCAGCCCTAAATACTAATTAAACCAGCAAATAATTTTGCTTTCTAACAAGACAGGAATGTACTCTATACTTCCTTTTTTCAATACAAAAATGTACTGAATGTTAGTTCAGTAACTAGGATAGTTATCTGGCAATTTCTTCATATCTGCTGTATACTTTGAGCTCTCTATTTAACTATGGGTGTGAATTTGTTCCATTAACATTTAAAGAAAGAATATATGCAAGACAGAATGGAAAGAATCAACTACTTTTTCATCCTTCAACATTAGACAGGAGTGAACTACACATTGATGTAACTCCAGTGTTTTACCTGTAGGAACAAAGACAGACTATGGCTAAAATTAAGAGATATTCACAGTCAAGGTTCTTTATGCTACCCAAACGCAAAACAGCCAAGATACTATTATTCAGTTAGCTTCAGCAACAGAACAGCCCTACTGCAGATACATAGCCTAAGTAGTTAAACCTTCACAGCTCAGAATCATTTGAGGATGCAGAGATGTTCCGATCTGCTTTGCAGAACACACTAGGAAACAGACAGACCTTGCCTTTTGTTCACTTGTTTCAAGTTTTTTGCTTGTTTTAACCATTACAAATATTCCCCTTTCTTGTGACTTCTCAGTCAGTTACCAGTGTTTTACATGTACTTTCACTGCAGTACTGAGCAAATGCAGGACAATATGTTGGCTAGTGAATTACAATACTCATTTATAACACAGTAGCTACATTCAGCTATTTAATTCCAGTTAGTTATTCATTAGACCAACAGCCACAAGATGAACCATTTGCAGAGATTAAAAAACCCCACTATCTTCCAATGTTCAGCACATCAGTCTATTTTAGTCAGTATTCTGTTATAAAACATGAGAACTTAAGCTGACCTTCAAGCGGCATGTCTTATAACTATATATTTTTCACAAAAATATAACCTCTGCCTTTCTAAATATCTCTACAGATCTGTGAAAAACAGCTGCTCCAATCAGTCAATATGTTTTAAAGAAAATTCCATAAAAATATCACATCTAAAAGATCAATATAATATTAATCTTTGATTGGACCTAAAATTAATGTGCAGTCAAATCTGATTTAAAAAGTCTGACTAAAGAGACACAAAGATTGAAATATTTACATTATACACATTTTCCAATTACAGTGCTATTAAAAAGTGGAATGTTTGAGAATTAAAATATTAATTCAAGCCCACAGGGCAGCTCCAGACCAGAGCAGCATCTTCATTCTGTGTATTTTTTGAACAGGAGAGATTTCTCATTAATACTAACATTTTTCATGTGTAGATTATTTCTCTGCCCAATGATCTGTAGAATTATGTTCCTGAACTACCATCATGTCCCACAAAGTCATTAAGTTAAGTGTTAAATAACATTCATATTTATAACTATGTGACAGCACGGAATGTATATACACACACACACTTAAAATCTTTGATTTCATAAGGGTGATTCTAGGTAAAAAAGGTGGATTTATGTATAAAAGTAGTTGCTAGAAAAACCTATCTAAAGCTTTAGAATTTAGTACTGACAAGGTCTCCATTTCTAGACCACAGAGAAAGAAAACTTGGACAATCTTTAGATCAGATAAATCGGCTCACAAGCTGATTAGCGTATTTTTTCAGTAATACGCAATTTCACTGGCAAAGGACGCAGCCACTGAGGTCTAGAGCTCATACGCATTTATACTAGAATTGGGCAGACCTACACACGATCTCCTTGGAAAGACTACTAGACTGAAGTCCATCTGTCCTTTGGAATTGCTCTCTCATCGTAGCCAGGTAGAGGGCACCCACTGGGGTTCTGTGTCAAGTTTGTTTATTAACCGAAGCAACTCTTGATACGCCTTATCAAGATCAGAATTCACAATTGCTGTATCAAAGTAGTGGCCATTGTTCTGTTCCATCTCCCTCGTCTTCTCTATGATTTCTCTCAGCTCTTCTGGCTGCAATCAAAACCAGAGAATTAGTGTATGTGTGTAAGCCTCTCCCCAACAACAACGGAGTAGGAAAAGTTAAAAACTCGACTCAGAAAAGTCTTTTATGCAAATTTTCATGGTATGGCTACCAGCTATTGAAAAGTTTACAATAATGTTGAACCAGGATACATATTTGAAAGCTAAGGGCACTCAAAGACAATCCCTTCTGATTGGCCATAACTGGCAGACCAGTAAATAACTGTCTCAGACTGAAGTAAATGAAGAAGATCTAGCACTGCTCATTTTATGACATCTTACTGAGGCTCTTAACATCATGTTTCTAAAAAACACATTATTAGGTTGCTAAGCCCATTATCCTTCTGAAAAAGACTGGAGATGGCAGAGATAGTGTGAAAATAAGTTTGAATGGTGTAGAACAAGACACCATTCTTCTGAAGATGTAGCACTACAAACACCAAACAGCCAAAGGCAACAGCTGTCATTGAAATACTTTCACCAGCAACAAAACAGTAATGAGAACCACAGTGAGAGCTATACATTTAAGTTGATCAAATCACAATAGCGTCAGGTAAATGACATTGCAGAAAAATGGAAAACATGATTTGGGAGCTGGAAGGGAGTATGTCAAAAGCAAGAATATTGCAGATGTAGATAAATGATGCAAAGGAAGAAGTAGAAATAGTTTGTTTTACTTCAGAATTTTTTTACACTTGGATTCTACAAGTGTGTTTGTTTTTCTCTTCTGCAGCTTATTTCTGTATTATATAAAGGAATATCCAGGTATAATTTTTGAGATAGTTTTCTAAAGAGGGTATTTTCAGAAGGGACTTCAGGCCTTCAAGATTTTCTTCCTAGGCATTATAAAGAAAATCAAAGCCACATACAGGCATACATGCAAGAAATACCCTTTTATTTATCGGGGGAAGGGGTTTAACACAGTAGCATTTACCCAACTGAAATAAATACAACTCCAATACGATTAATCAGAAAGAAAACAGGCATAGTTTAACACCAATAACAGTGTATTAATTTTTATTGCAAATGGATTCCTTGATTACTGCAATAAAAAACCAGGACATACATAAGATGAAGTATTTATGTAAAATAAAGTTTCATTAATCGCATAACCATGAAGGAGGAAACACGCCCATCTAAAGACTATGATTATATTAAACTGAGGCAAATTAAAAAAAAAAAAAAGAAAAAAGAAAAATTCCTCTGTTTTAAGACTTGGACTTTTAGATCTTCTTTTAGATCTTACACCCAGCCAATACATCACCCTTGCACCAAACAAGGAGAGCAAAACAACACAACTGTAGAACACAGTGAGGTACAACAGCCATATCAGGAGTCCCTTTGAGTTACGCTGAGAAGACTGTTCTTCCTCAGTATGAACTGCATTATGTTCAGTTAGTACTTTGAAGATATGATGGTGGCTAAGTGCTCGTACCAACCACTGTAGGATAGATTTCAGTCAAAAAGCTGAAGATCAACATATTTCTTTATCCTAGCAATAAGCACTTTGTGTCTCATAAGATGCCAAGGACCTTTTCTGAGCTTTCAGACACCCTGGTTTAATCTATGGGTTTCAATTCCATTCTGCAGAACTAACTTCTCATTAACTAAACGATCTGAACTGGATAAGCTGAGATCTTGACATGACTCTGGTTGAAACGTGAAAAGTGATCCTACAGGATCAAGATTAAAATAACTTTATCTGAAAAGTTTTGGAATACATTTTCAAATAAATGCTCTTCCAAGATAAGTTCTCCCTAGAATTACTCTCAGGTTTACCTGAAGACAAAGTTGGGTTTTCCACAGTTTTGAAATAAAGGGTCATATTTTTGTACCCAAACGCAGGGACCACAACTGAGACATTGTGCCCCACGATTACTAAATTAGTAGTGGATTCCCTTGTCTCATACCTCTCACATTCCTTTGGACAAAAGCATCGTGAGCCCTTTCTTTAGTATGGTCTGCCTACTAAACTACAGCACACAGATCTCAACTACACCGCTTCCCATATATTGTCAGTACCCAATTCCAAAGAGTATACGAATTTGTTTACCAAAAGCATTCCAGATTTGTAAATAAAAAGCAGCATGGTTTCAGAAGAAGTGTTAGACCATTACCTTTGGGTTTTTCCCTTCTTTGGCCAATAAAGCACGTAATCTCTCTTGTGAAGGTGGTGCAACAAATATAATATATGGCTTCAAGTCAGAATTACGTAGTGTCTTCAGTGACTGCAGAAATAGGATTTATTAAACATTTAACAGTTCCACACATGAAAAGGGCATTTAATAATGCATTATTCACATGCTATAATTGATAATATACTCTTCAGTGACAATTGTACATTAACAGCAGTATAATTAACCATAACAGTATTATCATCACCACTCGCAAGTTCAGTCACCATTTCCTACAAAATTGATATTCCAACATTTTTCAGCTTCATGGAACCCAAACATTTACTTTTGTTCAAGAATCTTCTTCATAACTAAACTGAAGGAACATATCTTTTGGTATCCAAAAGGAAAAAAAAAGTCACCTACATTGCAGTAAGTTTCCTTACAATGCTAAGGAATGGTATCAGCTTTTAATCGAGAGTAGAGTCTTTAAATACTATAGTTTAAATACTACAGCTTACCATTTTCTGTTTTGAAGATTAAAATACAAGGTATCAGATGCACTACTACTGTATGTTTAGCGTTTTTTTTTGGCAGGTTACATTTACATTAAGAAACAAGAAATAAAAAGAACCAAACTGTAGTTTGATTTTTCCAAAAGTTCCTTTTATGTGTCTCGGGACAAACAACTTGTCTCTCAGATATATTTTTATAACGACAGAATTAGATCAATTTTCAAAGTGTTATGAATTTTCAACTTACTACATGCTTTGTGATACCCATGAGCTATTCTAGTAAAGTATCACATGGTTCCAACTGGTGATGGCTAATTATAACTTCAATACTACCAGACTTTACTGATGTATTTGAGTTTTAGGCCTTCTTTTGCAGCACCTGTAACAGCAGTAGGCCTCATACATATTGTATGTATTAGAAATGGGCTGTGTTCCAGGACTCTGCCTCTTCCCACATTTGACTAAATTTCCCAGTTGAGGTCTGTATGCGTAGTTTGTCTCTTCTTTCTCCATAATCAAAAGGTCATAGCTAAAGAGCTTTTCAATATTGTTGATGTGATGTACTTTAATCCTGTCTGTTATGGAACTGCATAAACATTCCCAAAATGCAGTTTCCAAGTATAATCACAAACAACTTCCTCTCCATCTTCAAAAACCTCAGAGCTCACAGAGTAATCGGAATACTGAGAGACACAAATCTTATTTTAATTAATTTTTCAATTCAGATAGTTCCCACCAGCTTTAAGTATCTGGAAACCAAGGCCCCTATTACCTTTAGCACAGATAAAGATGTGTCTATTTCCAAACAAGGAACAAGAAGGCTGTATTCATAACACACTAAATAGAGTTAACTGAATACCACCGGAAGAAAACTTGGAATAAACATGAAGATGGACCTTGAAAACACAGTCATTTTATATAGACCAAATACAGCTCTTTAGATTTTCACAGTAGCTTCTACAATTAAAATACGACAGGTGACAGTTTTGCCATACCTGGGTATGAAGATTTAAAAGGCATATCTTGCCAGAGTTGATTACTTGCCGCACGGAGTCTATGCTAGTACCATAGAGGTTCTTTTCAAACTCTCCATACTCAATGAACTTTCCTGCAGCTATGTCACTCTCAAATGCCTGTCGGGAAATGAAATGGTAATCCCTTCCAGCTACTTCCGTCTCTCGCCTGCTCCGAGTAGTATCTACAAACAAGAGCAACAAAAAAGAAATCGAGACAGTGATGCACCTATAGAACGGAAGGGAGAAATAAGTATTTCTCTTAGGAGAGACATTTCTAACCAAGCAAAAAAAGGCATTTGAAATATCTAAGAAATGCAAGTATTTTATTTTCTACAATAAATATCCCTGGACAGATTAAGTTGCCAAAGGCTGAAACTACATTTAGAGGTCTTGTTTGCCTTATCTAGAGGAAAAAAAATAGTCAGCAAGGAAAGGAATAGTTTCACCTGTGCAGCTGCATTCTGGATGTGAAAACAGCTATTAGCTGTTTATAACAAGTTCTATTGTTAAGCTGTTTTTAAACCTAATTTAGGGTACATTAGACATTAAAAATGTAAAATTAACTGAAATATAAGTGGTTTGGGAAGGCACTAAAGCCACCTAAATTTAAATTTATGCAGGATATGTAGGTCAAAAATTCTCTGACCAACGTACCGGTTTCTTCTTTAAACTTCTGTAACTCACTCCAATTTTATTCAAACTGAAATATATGCATGTCTTAAAATGCCTCTATAACACTGTGTTGGGACATTGGATTTGCATTGACTTACCAAAGCCACTTTTTGCCACACAAGATGTAACTTTATTTGTCCTTTATCTAAGAGCTGACTATATCCGGCTCAAAATCCCCAAACTCCTAATTGCTATTTTCAACACAAGAGGATTTGTCTGCAGACAATGTTTAGAATAAGCAATCGTATCTGCCCATCAAACTTACGGGGAACCGCAGAAGCAAAGCGATCCACTTCGTTATTCATAAGTCGCTGCCGCAATTCATTTTGACCGCAGTTCTGTGGGCCGATCAGAACAATAGGCCGTTTCCTATTTGCTGGTTGATGATACAGTGACATTTCCTCGTAGGTCAAAATTTCCTCATTGTCATAATCTTGAGAGAGAAATAACAACATAGTCACAACATGCTTTACTGCTAGTTGCATTTATTGCCTGTCATGCAGGATCAAGTTTCAGGCAGCTCCTGACTCTCTGTCCAGCATCTAACCGTGAGTCACCAAAGCAACAGAACCCCAAAGATCATCACTTGCCCAGTAAGATAACGCTTTTTTTCCCCCTTTCTGGAGAAAGAAAATGCGTTTCCACTTATTACTGATTTAAGTAGTAGCATAAACTCAGGAAACAACTTTCTTGCCAAGGAACAAGTTTCTAGTGCAAGAATAACACTTTATGCCCAACAACAACAAAAAGCATCATCCCAATCCCAAAGTACTTCTGTAAGAATATAGTATAAATAGCCTACAAACTCTCTGTGGAGAAAGTTTCCATTTACTAAACTTAATTATGCAGAATGAGATGATATTACAAAACCATAATAAATTGGTTCATCATTGTAAAATTATGACTGCTTCCATGCCTAAAAGGCTGTTTTTTTACCCCACCGTCTGGTCTTTATTAAGGACACTAAATGACCCTACAAATTCTGCCACCTCTTTTACATCCTTCATTAAATGCTATTAACAAACCATACTACTGCTCCCAACAGAACATCATCAGGCAGTATTTCTAACATCATATCCTGAATTTCAGCATTCTTTTCACAAGGCTATTTGTAGAATCTTTTATAGTCGCTTATAAGTGCACACACTGTGCAAAAGATGTTGCTTACCATCATTTTTATTTGCATTGTATAAAACCTTTTTCCGTTTCTTTTTGTTTTTCTTCGCACACCAGAGTTTTCCTAACCAAAATAAAAATCATCACAATCAAATACCATACAGTAAAAAGCTTCCTATCCCACCCACTATCTGGATCTTTAAAGTAGAGAATTTATTCTGCAGTCTTGAAAAGGCATAATATTCTTCATTTCATTACAACGGTTTGGTGTACTAAGCAAATGTTGCATGCCAAGGACTTCAACTGAGTCACGGTGGGTAAAATTCTTTAAGAAAAAAGAGGCTTTCCAAATTCCCCTACATCATCCTAATCACATTGCACAAAGTTATGAAAAAAACATGTGATTTATATAACAAAGTGCTAAATTCAGACCTGTATTTACATGAAGAATTTAAAAAAATCATCCCACTTGTATCACAAAAATGGAAGATTTTTCTACAACTCAATAATGACAAGGTTCCAGATATCACTAATTAGCACCTCTGTAAGAGTTAGATTTTTTTTTTCCCCCCCTTGGAAAGCATATATCCAACCTGATTTTTCTGGCTCCTTGTCTTCTTCTATGGTTTGCTTCATTGCTTCTCTTTGTTGCTGAAAACTTTTTCCTTAATGCATTTAAGAAAAAAAGTACAAAAGCAGTTAACATTTAGAAACCATTTCTGTATTTTTTTTATAATGACTTACTCATTTTACTTTTGCCTAAGCTTTTACATCTCTGAAGGTTTTAGTAGAATATGACATAAGAGAAATTTAAAAAGAGAAATTAAAATTTAAAAAGAGAAACTAAAATTGCTGCAAAGATTGTTTATTGCTTTGAAAATATATTCATCAATAATTGCAGAGCATTTGTACTATTCTGGACCATTTTGCCTGGAAAATTGAAACTACTGGAAAGACTACATTTCCCCACTATGATGATATGGTTTTCTAATAATTTTTGTATGTTAAATGTGTTCTATTTATACTAAATCTTTTGAACTTCAGCTTGAAAAAGATTAGCCTGTATTTAAATCAGTGTTCCTCTCAACTTACTCAAATGTCATAAAGTAACAGTGTGATATTCTACGGAATTTGAAAAGTCTTTTGTTCACTTGTTTAACAGATCAGAAGATCTTTAATGGTCTAGAGTGCAGTACATATTTCAATGCAAAAATTATATATTGACTTCAGTGTCTGAAAACCCTATTACTGAAAGGCCCCCAACAGTTAGAAAGGAAGCATGACTGTTACAAATAACTGAAGCTCTTTGCTAAGTGAAAACATGCAGAAGAGTTACCACGAAAGAGAAACGTTTTCCAAATATACTACTTGATATGGTAAGAAACCTAACAGCTGCTCTCATCTCCAGAGAACAAGCAGGCTGAAATCCCACATTTCTGCCATAGCCAGCAGAGGGAACTCTGAATCCACAGAGTCCCCAAGGTGGAGGAATAAAGGAAGAGGAGGACAGCTCTTGAAAGGTGAACTGCAGTGGAAGCAGTAGCTTTACTCTGCATTTAACATCTATACATGGAGATGCCTCTAAAAGGCAACCAATAGTGAGCTCTGTTGCAAAAGGTTCAAAGTCACAGATATTTAAGGCAATGAATATTTAAGGGTATATGAAAACCCTTGAAAACCAGAATATTGCCCCTACGGCTATGGGAACAACTGGCTGTCAAGCTTTTTCTAGAGCTTTACTTACCAGGGATAAGGCCTGCCAATGGCTGATTATCTTCATCTCCATCTCTGTAAGCCTGCCACCAGTTTGGATCTTCTTGGCTGATCACATGGAGTATATCTCCTTTTTGAAAAGATAGGCCTAACTCTCGGCAGGGGACGTAAGGGTCATCAGAGGGATCATAGTCAAAATGCGCTTTCACATGTATCTGCGGAAGATGAAATGGAAAAACAGAGGAAAAAAACCCCTGTGACTTCTGAAGAATTACACCCCAATCTTCCTGTGACTGCAGTAGAGCTCCGATATATAAAACCACCAAGATCCTATAAAATGGAAACTTTTTCTGGGGCATACAGGAGATACTGGAATGGAATCATTACCTAATTTAGCAACGGAAAAGACACAGTTGTGCTAGGTTGGAGATAAAGGCCTGAATTTAACTCTTGTTAATTTTAAAGTCTATGCAATTTCCTCACCATTTTAGGAGGCAAAAATCCCTGAGCTACTCATTTAAGTTCTTTGCATTCAAAAAGTATCAGAGATATTCTAATTTCTTTAAAATACCTAATAAATACACAGATTGAAACCCATTTGCTGGGCTTTAGGTGAAGTTTCACTTGTAAAATATTTTACTTTGTCACCAATCATTAATGTTTTTGTTTGGCTGTGATATAAATCTGTGCATTCTTTCTTCAAACTGTTAAAGCTGTCTTAAGAAAAGTATGTTAGCTAAAAAGATAATGAACAAAGTTTCCCCGTATACAGACTTTTCCTCCCAAAGCATATTTGCAAGTTCCATCAATCCAATTTTTTATACATATATATGTAAAAATAGAGAAATTGAGAATTTCAAAATAGAATTTCAGAAGCACAGGCAGTTCTACTTTTACAATTTCTTACTGTTTCAGAAACTGAATTAAAATCATACTAAGAGTTTCAGCTTAACACCACCAATAATTTTCAATAGTTAATTCAGGTGTTAGTCTGGTAACAATTAAACCAATTTAAACAATTAAGTTTTGGTTTTGTTCCACAATGTAAATGACCTACAGAAGAACTTTCTACGCGTTACTGGAAAAACAAGGTATGTACCACCAAAAACTTATGTAGAGCTACTTACAACTGTCTCCTTCGCAGGAGGTGGCTTGCTCTGCTGACTGGGAATCAACACAAAGGTCAGAGTACCATGCATGTCAGCCTGAGATAAAAAATAGAGTCTTCATATACAGTATCAAAATATGGCTTAAGGTTAAGAATTTTAATAAATAACATATTTTAGAAAATGCTTCAAAAATTCCCATAAAAGGCAGTTCCTAACAGCACATCATCTACCCCTTAATTGGTTTAAAAGATATAGTATAGATACAGATGCAGTGATTCAGTGACAGGCTAGAAAGCCAAATGTTGATATTCAGATTTTTAAAGCCTAGCATTCTTGGTTATACATAAACTATTTCTATTTGAAATGGAGCAGCTGCAATTCTGCAAGCAGGGACTTAGGAGAAATGGAGAATAATATTCTCCTGTTCTGCTAAAAAATACCAACAAGTACTTAATATCCATATTGCAATCAGCCTGCTAAGAAAGCAGAACATAATAAATGCCCTGGCCTTAAAGAATTCTTATTTGTTTGCATACTCTTGTATACGGAGTGTGTTTGCACACATAACGAATATCTAGATAAAATGCCAGTGCCAACTCGTGACAAGGTCTACATGTGTCTCACTTCCTATACATCATTCCATGAACCGTAACACAACAATTTATGTTGCATAAAATCAAAGCATATGCATGTATCTCAAAAAATTCAGACCTAAGGCTTAAATAAGGTAACCATAACTGAGCATAACATGATTAGGCTGCAGGAAAGGAAAATCCACAATTTTCAGTCAGCATGCATAGTCCCACAAGGAATGCATAGAATTTCACACTGATCGTGTGAATAGTCTTGTCTTAAGTCATGTGCAGTTCATTATCATTTGAGTAGCAAGTGGTGAGGCAAAATTAAGAAGGAAAGTAACTTCCTTCTCTTGTGCTTGTTTTAAGTATTTTTTGGGGACTGAAGCATTTTAAAACTTCACTTCCACATTACAAAATACAAAAGACAACTTATAAAGAATTAAAAATATTATTTTAAATTAATGATTTCAAATATATATTAAAAAACCACAGAAGGTTTTTTTTTTTTAATTTATTTTCAGCAAGTAACTTGCTCTTATGTTAATGTATTGTGGTTTTATATCTTTTATTCTGTAACTCTAGGTTGCAGGAGCTGCTCAAGAGCAGAACAAGCTCTCTGCGGAGAACTAAACTGCCAGAGTTGAATTATCTGTCAAGCATCTACAAAACACTCTTTTCAGAAGCATAGGACTTAAGTAAATACGGTTTTTTTAAAAAAAAAAACAAAACAGATGGCAATGGAGACAATTACAGAGTGTGAAGAATCTCGGATATCTCCGATCCAAAAAACACACAGAGATTGAAGGCTTTTCAAATAACTATAAAAATCTTTTTAAATGGCTTAAAAAAACAAAACCAAAACCCCACACATTTCTGGCCCTACTTCCCTCCACTTGACCTCATTCCATGCATTAGCTGAAAAACTTTAATGGCAAATTTCAGAAAAAATCCAACTAAGGGTGGAAATTGTGCATTAAAACCTACAGTCTTACTGTAGCACGAGACAACTTCATCTATGGACGTTGCTGCCTATTCTTCCTACAATAATGCAACCTACAGCAGAACCCAGGTCTTTGTCCTGATTTTGATTCGTCTATAGAGCAGAGATCTACTAAGTAATTCAAAGATTTACTAAATATATTTCTCATTTTTTTTTCCCCAAAGACCCTATTAAATAAGTGTTAGTAGATATTTCAAATGCTTTGTATCAAAGTTATAACTTAACTTTAAAAAAAATTTGTCATTTTCATCTCTTTTCACTTTGACAGAATGGTCTTGCCTGCTGCAATCAGACCAAAGATTCATAGCCAGGTTCCAGGTGTCCCACCTTGGACACTGATCAACAGCAGGTGTCAGAGAAAAGCATAAGAAAAGAGCAATACTGGGCAACAGAAAATACTGGTAATTCCCAGCTTTTGACATTCTACCTCGCAGGGCCTTTGAGAGAGAGAGTACCTCTGCATTTACTAGTTCCTGGTGGATTTCTTGCCTGTTGTTTTGACTAGCTGCTTTTGAACTGATGTATAATTTTGTCATGAATGGTTAAAGTGTAATAAACAGAAAAATGTCTGTGCTGGTAAACTACTAGACAAAAGGGTTTTTATCAGGAGGTAAGAAGTCTAGTCATGTAAAGGTCCCATGTGATACAATTTGTGGTGGGGTAACTCTGACCAGCAACTAAGCACCGACCAGCTCCTCACTTGCTCCCCTCCCCCAGCAGGATGGGGGAGAGAATCTGAAGACCAAAAGCAAGAAAAACTCATGGGTGGAGGTAAAGACAATTTAAAAAAAATGAAGGGAAAAAACCCCAACCCCACAAGTGATACAAAGGCAATCACTCGCCACCCAGTTTTTATTGCTCAGCTTGATTTATATGGCATGATATATCACTGTGGTCAATTTGGGTCAGCTGTCCCAGCTGTGTCCCCTCCCAACCTCTTGCTCACCCCCAGCCTACCTGCAGGCATGAGAGTGAGAAACAGAGAAGGCCTTGACACTGTGCAAGCACTGTTCAGCAACAGCTAAAACGTTGGTGTGTTATCAACACTGTTTCAGTCTAAAATCAGCCTAAAACACAGCATATAAGCTGCTATGAAGAAAATTATCTCCATCCCAGCCAGACACTACCACAAAATCACACAGCCACGCATTTATTAACTGCGGACTCAACCAGAGACAAAGATGAAAAACCATGGCTTTTCAGAGCTAAACAAAGTTTTTCTTAGAAATCATTAAAAGCAAGTCTCAAGATGATAGCTTGACTCTTCCACATTTCTAGGCTTCATTTTTGCAGATAACTGCCATTATACTTACTAATATTGTATTATGCATCAGAAAGAAAACTTGAAATGGCCCTCCACACATAAACGCTAGCTATCAGAATGAAAATATTTTTAAACTAATGCTAAATATGAGCACAAATGACAAGCAGAGCCAACAGGCTTCAGTCTTATGAAATGAGTATTTTTTTCAGAGAAAACAAGAAGTGTCCAACTCACCAACAAGTCAAAAACTTCATTAACATCTTTTCCACGAATCTCAATACCATTAATCTCCAGAACTTCATCCCCTTCATGTAACAGCCCACTCTTCTCTGCAGCACCTCCTTTCACTATTCGACTAATGATAACAGAATCCATTTCATTGCGAACAGTAGCACCCTGTGTAGCAGCAACACATTCTAAATTTATTATATATATATGAAGCTCAATGCCATCTATTGTATATATTCCAAGCCAGTGGAGAAACATTTCTATGTTGAAAGAGAATGCAAGTAACAGCTCAGATGCATACACCCAATGCTCCAGTTTAAAAAACCACTGCTTAATTTCTTTAAACTGCACTAAAAATTGAAGAATTGCTCCATACCATAAGATTCATGATTTTTTAAAAAATGTTTTCCTAAGGAAACACTTATTTGAAAGATGCCAAATAAAAGATGAGAGTTGCTACCTCCCCCCCTCCCCCCCAAAAAAAACCCCCATGGTTGGCACAAGGCTATAAGCTTCCTTGCAGCAAAGCTTGGGATAGCGACTTCTGTCAGGAAGTCCTGTCCAAACCCGCGTTGACAGAAGTTGTACAGATTCTAAATGGTAGTACGGTTACTGCTATATGAAGATACCCAAAAGTTTATCGTCTGTGACTGTTTCTCATTTTGGAGGGAAGGAGAGTGTTTACAAGTCAAATATCACCTCCACATTCAAATTCCAAAACTTTCATAGCAATTTTCAAAGGACAAAAAAGCTTACTTCCTTTATATATAACTGAGCGAGTATCAGTACTTACCAATGGAATATCCCGAGCTTTCTCAATGCGAACTATTTTAACCGTCTCCCCTCCGTACACGCCAACATTTTCATAAATTTTTTCATCTGTCACAGGCTCTGGTTGCATTTCTTGTTCCGCAACCTTATCATGAGCCAGTAAAAGTGCCTAGTGTTAAACAAAATCAGCTCAGTTACAGAAAATTTCACACTTTGTATGTATACAAAATAGTAGAGTTCAATGAAATTCTGCAATTTGAATAGTCTTTGCAGGTCACAGAATATTGCAAACTGACTCAAGCAATAAAAAAAGATCATTTATCACAGCTATGTAGCACCTACTGCTACATACTTTACAAAACTTGCCTTTCAGAGTAGAAAAGAATAAAAAAGCAATTTTGAACAAACAACTATGACTATATTTAGAGCTTCTCCTTCCTAAAAAACCAGACATTGGTTTACTATGTATGTGACTGAGGATACAGGCATAAGAAATTACTGCAGTGAAAACTGCTCATGGATTTACAACATCACCACAGGACAAAATTTCCTTTATGCACCCTACGGTAAACATGAAACAGCTGTCAAAGAAAAAAAAACATCGATAAGCAAAGCAGCTGGTGTTGCCCTGACCCTACTGATCTACTGCTACATTGTTTATGTGCAAATTACCATGTAATACATGTAGAATGTAGCAAAGGCTGAATACAATCATGCACTACACTTGATTAGAAGTTTCCATTAGTTACTGGAAATTGGAAACTTCTCATCCTAGAAAAATACTAAGACATTTGCACAGTTGAAGAATAAAATCCATCCTTGCCCAGTCAGCCCAAAACATTTGCAAAAAATAATTTATACTGAAAACAGCAGCAAGAAATACATCCCATAGGTTAGAAGTTCCATTTCGGTTTACCTGCATGTGAGGGGCATTCAGCAAAGCATTAAGCTCCTGCCCATCCTTATGGTGACTGGGTTTCAAAACACTCTGTACCTAAAAAGAAATCAAATAGCAAAACTCTTAATCTACTCAGTGATTTATCAATCCTCCCTCCCCTACTCAAGCACAAACCCCTTGTTGCAATTATTCATTTTACTGAAAGTAAAGTATATCCACGTAATTGTTACACTGACTGATTGAGCTTAATCTGGAACACTTAGGAAAATATGCCATCAGACCACAGGACTACTCCAGCATATCTTGCCTCAGTAATTAGCTACCAAATCAAAGCTGGCATCCAGTGCATCACACAGATTTGTCAATACCAGAAACTGGCAATTTGCTCAGCTACCACAAAGATGCACACAAAAAATTTAAAACTCTAGAAAGGAACACGATAGTGAAATCAGTCACAATGAAGTCTATTATGTGAATATGCTGGGTCTTTTAAAATGGACTAATTTCTCATTAACATGACTAGCCTCCTTTTTCCTTAAAAGCAGATGGTTTATTTTTACCCAAACTATTCCCACCAACAGCAAGACTAAAGATTCCAAGACAGGTTTTGCAATGCATCCTGGAGCCCCTGCCTCAGAAAGCGTACGAGTCAAAACTTCAAAAGGTCCCAGAAAACTGGGCTGATTCCAAAATAATCCACATTAACACAAGAACAGTTTTTGCTCATGCAGCTTCGGTTGCCTAAAAAGGTTTGCCTTCTTATACAGTTACCAAACATGCGTTGCCATCATCTCTCACAAATATTAGAAAATCCTGGTATGCTTATAGAGAAAGCCAGGAACAGGGAAGTCCCTCTTATCTAAAGTGAGACTGAAGAAGATACTTCCCATAGCCATTATCCTCTGGCCTAATCTGACCAAAGGCACGCAAGTCCAAAAGCACAAATGAATCCAGAGACATCAAGAGTAGATTATACATACCAGAGCAGCAGCTTTCAGTGGGATGGGAAACATTTTTTTCAAGAGCTTTTTACTCTTAAGCATGAGGTAATGTGACATAACAGAGAATCAAGAAACCAAAAGTTCCAAAGTGAAAATAAACGTTTTGCGTGATCTAACAATATCTAGATGTCTGACGAGCCTCTATCTAATGAGCAATTTTCTACAGAAATGCTAACAACTCTCTTGGATGCTACCAGATGACTGCACTGAAAACAGTAAAGATACTTTTAAATTCTAGCAGAAGCCACTAAGTGAACCATTCCCAAGGGGCAAGTTCCTTACATTGCCAACCACACACTGTCCCATGGAACAAGATCCTGGGCTTAGCAGTAAACCTGGCACAACCTCCAAAAGCCTTCTGACATCCCTAGAACATACCTCATGGCGAACAAACCTAGTATAGCTTAGAAAAGTCAAAAAGAAGCCAGATTTAAGTAAGTTTTTTACTGATTTCTTTAAAACCCTAAAGAACAGAAAGCATTCAGCTTCATATAGGCCTGACCTCAGTCATACCTCTGAACTGGCCAGGAAGCTATTATCCCTGGCTTAGCCTGATTTTTGGGATGCCATATAGCAGACAGAGCACTGTAAAGGATATATTTCACTAACAAACTTTTCCTCTGTGTTGAAAGAAGAGATTCTTCTATACAAAGTACTTTCTCATAGAGGTTTATTTAAGGTCTCTAACTTTCAAGGGACTTTCAGTTCCTTTCTTGATGAAGCTGCAAGAAGCTTTAAAGCCTTATTTATCCAATCTTTATGACCCTTTTACAGGAAAACCTACTCAGAAAGCAACTTAGAAGTCCTGCAAGTAAGACAACCTTTTGAATGCAAGGTCAGAGGTTGGGGATTTGACAGGGGAAAAGCAAGCAACCAGGCCCAACCAGTCATTCTGTGACTATTCTTCAAGTTGAATTTCTGCTTTGAATAATTTAATTATTCAAAACTTTAATAGCTCCTCTTTTAAAAGAAAGAAATATTTATTATTTGCTTATTTAATGAAGCGCTAGAAAAGCTTCAGGCTGCTACATAAACCAGTTATTACACCAGTATTGCTGCATGCCAGATTCCTTTGTGGTAATGAATCTCACTTTTGTAGGCTGTTATTCCAGAAGTGACACACTACGGGTAGCAAGGGCAATCCACACTAAATATGTGGCAATAACAGTATTTTCTTAATTCTTAATTCTCTAGCTTTTATTGTTAATTACGTTAACTTCAGTTCAAGCAGCCCCCCAAAAGCTATCAATTTGGTTTCATTACACACACCTGTGGAGGCAGATGGTGGAGTGATATTAAACATTCAGAATTTAACTGCACCTGCAAAATCCTGTTGTTGTTTACTCTCAGGTGAGCAGGACTGTCAGAGGGAATATACCTACACATTGTAATGCACTTATACCAGAAGTTACAAGCTTCCACTGCACCCTCTCAAAAGTACTGATCTAGCTTAATTGCCTGCACTTGCTGAAGTGAACAGTAGCAAGTCTGAAACCTTTAGAAACATAGCCTATATAAATTGAGCCTATTAAGTATATTGAATAGCAAGAACATCTGTAAGGTATTTGATATGTGCTGTTACAGGCCAAAAATTACAAACTGCCTTGAATGCTGCATCGAATATTCTTACAAGGTCAAGATTCAGACCATGTTCCCATAATCCTTGCCCCCATCTTGGTCAAGTTTAAATGGATTTAAAATCAATTTAATTACACTTGATGTTTACTGCCTATTTTTATTTAAGACTTGGAGTACACCACATTACATGAAGATTAGCTCTCTAAAATAAATTCCTTAAGCTCAAGTGCTTCATTCCATCTTTTTAATGCAATTAAAGTTTCTTTTAAAAAAACCAAAATAATCTTGAGTTGTTGGTGCCTGGTTATCAGAACTAGTGGGAAAAGTTAACTGCACAAATGTACTAGTAATTTTAAGAATTTCCTAAAGAGGACTAGAAAATAAAAATGTACCATTCCACTCTCATGTGTTGTTAATAGTTACAAAATTCAAAATAAAAAAAGTTTTCACAACACACTGTTCATACACATAATGTTTTATAAAAGCAAATCATCAATGAAAGAGTAGATGAAAACAGATTTTTTAAGTTCAGTGTAGTAAATGATAATACCCCCAAACACACTTCCAAAAGTGTAGTTTAATTAATTTAATATTAATTTTTACTTTTTTTTTTTTAAAAGGGAGGATGTTTCATGTTGCAATATGAAATTGTGTTGCAAACTCTTTTCCTGTTAGAGCTACAGAAGCATGAGCTCTAGAACAGGTTCTCTTTCACACGATAAAGCCTCAAACAAAACATGTCTGTAGCTTTAAATTAGGACACGCACTCCAAAACAGTTTCAGAGTTGTACACTGTCACTGATGACCTGTGCACTAAAATATGCACATTAGCATTACCTGTCATTTAAAATTAATGTTATGCATGTATCTGCTATTTTTCTTTCTTGTAATGTCTTGTGGCTTTTATCATCAAGGTGTTATCAGTTTCTTAAATCCAGGCTTTTGCAAGTGTCTTTTCAAAAACACCCTGCAGTAAGTAAACGAACTGCTTTCTAGGGGAGCTTCCCACGCCTATGTTTAGGGATGGAAAAAACAAAAGACACAACCGAAAATCACAGTACAAGAAAAAACCTGGGCAGGCAAGATAGACACTTTGTCAGGGTAAAACAAAAACAAAACCAACTTTTCCTAAAGCAAAAATAATTTCCTCCCGTATTGCTACCATAACAAATACAGAAGCCTTTCCAAAAGGAATAAAGGATCTGAAAAACAAGCATAAGATCTATTAGGCAAGACTAGGAAGTACAGAATGATGTGAATGGAGGCCTCAAGGTGTTCCTCTTGAGACACTTCTGTCAGGCACAGAAATATTTCCGGCTTGATCATTTCAGGATGCTATTTAACATATTGCAAAATAAAGTCACTTAAATACACCAGAAGCTGAATCACTGAGAAACTAGATTACATCTGAAAATGGGAAGAGACATATGCAATATATTGACTTTTCAGGAATTCCAAGGCTGGACAAGACAGGGATGAGAGATGAAGAATCAAAATGGAGTGCAGGAATACTTGTGCCTTGTATGTAATAGTCTCCTGGGTGATGACAAAATTCCATTGGTTTAAAAATTTTAGATTAAAGAAATACTTTCTTTATGCTTCCTTCATGGATTGCTAAGAGATACAAAACTGGCTTTACGCCACTTTCTGATTTTAGGATTTACCAAATCACCTGAAAAAAAGAGAGGAATATGTTGGGAAGGTGAGGGGTAGGGAAGATGCGGAGGAATATGGAAGTTTGAAAACAGACCTAGAGTTTTCCTAGGCATATTTTCTTCTTGGACACTCCTATTAAGCAGCAAAAAAAAGGACATCATATCCATAAAGGGGAAAAAACAGCTTTCTTAAGAGATAAATCTGTAATATCCTATATTATAAATGAAGATTCAAAAAGCTCTGGCTTGTATCTGAATGAAATCCCAAACTAGGCCTGTGTAAAGTGGCTGTTTGGGGAACTAGTTTACAAACAGAAGTTAACTGAAGAGGTTCCTTCAGACTCGCAGACATCGAAGAAGCCTGGTGAGGATCCCATAGCAGCCTACAGGCTGATGAATAAGCCAGAGGGAAGCTCATATGTAAAATACTCCCACCTGGTTTTGGCACAGCCTTACTGACAAACCTAAACAGGAAAATCCTGAGCTGCAGTTTAATCAGCACACTGCACCTTTAGATAACATTTAAATAATGTCCCTCAAGAATCAGTAATTTCTTCTGCAAAAGAATTTCAGGCTTGCTACAATGCTGTTTTCCCTGACTTATAAGGTTAAAGTCTAGAGAAAGGAAGGAGAGTGGAAAGAGACTTTGAAAAAAATTGCTTCAGGCAGGAAAAAAACCCCGGATACTAAAAAAAAAAAAAAAAAAAAATCAACTTGCTGCCATACTGAAATTGGAGTGATGTGCCTTTAAGCAACTGGAGAATGGCTATATACTGGCTCAGGTACTCCAACTGGTGTACCTGAGCCAGTTTTGAACAGGTAAGTTTGGTTCACTGGGTGCTAAATGCTGGAGCATTTACCCTGGATCTGTCTTTTGCTGAACACTACAGTGCTACGCTTGCACTGATACCGGTATTCAAGCTAGCTAGTTTGAAGTTAACAAATGTATATCCGTATAAAGTGTAGCCACACTTCACTGCAATATATACATGCACCAGGCCATGGAAAATTAAGATGAAGTTATTGAGCAACCCCTCAAGAGGGTCTTAGCTGCATCCAGACACATGTGAAAACTCATTCTGTTCACAGCAACTTTGTATCTGATGAGTCTTCTGTAAATTACTACTAATGCTTATAAAGCTATTGTATACAGATATTGCCCATCTATATTCAAGTGAATAAGCCTCAAATAAAGTACTTAATCTGGCTGAAACTGTAAGAGTAATTCAAACAGTTAAGATCTGACTGAAAAGATTAAAGTTAAAAATCTTGCTCAAGTAAATTTCTAAAAGTATACTTTAGTAATTTCTAAAAGACATATCGGATCTTGTAAAAGAGCTGTCATCTGTCAGACAAAAATTAAGTGTAATCTGACCATCACAGCAGTAATTAAAACACTGAAATTAAGTATTAAGGGATCTGTTGCTTACTTTAAAGCAGAATGCTTGTTTCCAGTATGTTTGTATTTTCAGAGATGCCTCCTAACTTAAGAACCATGGCTCAACTCAGAGGAAAGTCACAATAATAGAGAACTAATTCAATTCTTGAATGCTTGGCATAAAGAATACTGAAGGCAAAAGTTAGATTTTCATAACCACGCCCTCTTCCTATGTTTAAACGTAGTACCTTTTCTGTTATGTATCTACCCATGCTAAAAAGGGAGTTCTTATCCCCAAAGTATTTTTCTGGTTACTGCTTGGAAATCTGGAAAAACTGGATACAGCAATCAGTGACTATTATAATCCCTTTCATATTCAACATTCAATAACTCAGACAAGCTTGACAAGTACGTATTTCAACAACAGCTATGATTACAGGTTTCATATATATCACAGAGATGCATACTGTACATACCTCTTGCGCTAGTTCTTGTGCATTGGAGATGAGAGGATATGGAGGGCTGGCTTTGTTCATGTGCACTGTAACAGCATTGTGTATCTTAAATGCATTCTGAAAATCAGTATTTTGAACAAGCTGTAAAATGAGAGAGATATCCTCTTGGCTCTGAGGGTCTACCAAAATGTGCTGGATATGCTTAAGAGAAGTTAACAGTTCTTCCACTTCTAGGTAGGAAATAACAAAATACAAATAAGGTACAAGTTAACAAGATTCATAAGGAAGTCATGTTTACATTAAGGTTTTTACAAAAAAATTATTTTGCTGTTCAGTTTTTAATCAGCAACGATGTATGCAAATTTATTAGTTATCCATTATTCACTCTTACTTTTATTAGCAGAATGTATCTGAATCAAAAAAAGGACCCCAAGTTGGTAACGCTGATACATTTAAATTTAAATTCCTGTTGCAGGACCAGTTCTCCTCCAAAAGAAATCAACTATACGTAAAAAAATCCAATAATTGCAGCTCATGTATCGCCATATGGGAAAGAGGGACTATTTTGCAATATGAAAATAACCCCTTTACTAAACTAATGCACTGAATATTCACTGTTATTTTGATACATCTTTCCATGTATATCTCTCTCAACTAAATACTGCTTACTTATAGAATGAGTGTTTGATAAGTAAACTACACTCAATTTCTAAGCATAAAATTATGCTTAGTCTTAGCACATTAAAATAAAAAGGTAAGGATGAAAACATAGTATCTGTGGTCAGAGTTCTGAAAGCCATCTGCACCAGAAGAAAGTTCACATCTTTTACCTACGAAATTTATGAGTTCTGCTCGGACCATAAAATATTTTAACATATTTTAATAATCGGTTTATACGTGTTTGCAGAATATTATACATGTACCACATTCTCGAGCTTCAAGAACTAATCTGGTGCTTCAGGGGTGCTTTTTAAAGACTGTCAACAAACTTACATTTTTTTTAAGCCAATCGAATTTCTGTAAAATGTCACTTCTCAATATTAAGTACTTGAAGAAACTACCTAAAACAAGGAATGAGTCATACCTATAATGCATATAAACCCAGATAAGAAATCCTCAAGCAGACCAAACAAACAGTGGCTGTTTTGAGCCTGAAATAATATACACATTCTCACACATTATCTGAAAAAATCTGTTCAGCCACAAGAGGCTCGTCAGCTATCTTTTATTTTAATAAATTCAAGTGAGCTAGAATTTTCAATCCTGGTATTTTTAAAAAATGAACAACAAAGAAAATCCCAAATTTTAAAACTGTCAATTGATACTGAGGTCAATCTCCCTTACTGGTATCAAAATATCACCTTTGAGAATTATTTTTAAGTTTTAGCAACCTTCATTTATTCATTATGAGCTAATTAAATAACATTAAAATAGGAATGCTATCACAACATTAGCTAATTTGCATTTTTTACATGAAAAATCACAGTAGATACTGATCACTAACAGATACATTCTGTCACGAAGTTTCCTTTACCTGTTTTTAACCTCAAATTCACCAGTACACTGAACACAACGCTAGACTCAAACTTGCTGAGCACAAGGTTAAAATCGTTGATAAATGGACACATGAAAACCATAAAGCTAATAAAATACGTATTTCAAACAAGTTTATTGGCTTTAATTTTGGACAAAGTATACCTACACATATGTTTTCAATTTTGAGTTTGCAAGTCAGTCTTCTGTATAATAAAAGGAAACAAACAATCCAGAGCTACTACTCTTGTCCTTTTACTGTCTGCAGGACAATAAAAACAAAACAAAACAAAACCCTCCAAAACCATTCCACACATGCTAAAAACATCCTACCCAGCAAAGGTCAAGGGCTTCTTCCTCTAACCACTAAGAAACAAAGGGCAGTAGTACAAAAGCTGCCCGGAAAGCTCAGATACCAGCTGTGCAGGATATTCCACAGGTGAACTCCAGTACAGCTCACAACACTAATTAAGGCAGCCAATGTCTCACTAGGGAACTGTATACACAATATACTGCCTATCACACAGGGGGGAATGCCATTTGGAGAGAAGGCTAAAGAACACTCTACAAGCAAGAATATTTGCTAAATAGGATGTTGTCAGCTAGCAAATGTCTTGCCTAGAGGAGTATGCAGACTACCAAGGCACCTCAGCAACTGATTCTCCCAAGTCTGAGGAAGTGCACTATTTTCAAGCATAAAAAAAAAAAAAGATAGTGTAAAACAGTCAGATGTTACTGTGAAGTTCCTATGGATACCTGCTCAGTTAAAAAACACACCAACCCAAAATTCTGCTGTTTGTCACTGTACCGGATTCAAAAAACAGTGAGGCATTAAAGAAGAACCTAACTTCTTCTAACTCCTCCTATGCATAAATTATTTTATTCAATTCTTTCTGAATTGTCTGTCCCCCCCCTCATATACCTGAGAATTCAAATACATACACACATATGTACACACACAATTCTTTCTAATACATATTCCATATAAGATATAAATATATAAAGATAGACATCTTATTCTGTATCTATAATAAAGACGTCCTGTTCCTAGATGCCTCTACATATTCTTTTCAGCACTTTGCTAGTTCCTTCTGTGTCGCCCTTTCTTACAAACTACACAGCACTCTCCTCCCCGTGTTAATTCCCTTCTACACTGAATCTTCATCTGTGCTGCATATACAAAATTATTTCCCCCCACCATGAAACAGCAAACAAATACCCCCCTCATCACGATTCTAAAAGAGAAATAATGCCTGAAAAGAGTGAAATGAAATATTCCCCAAAAGCTAGCAATCCATTTCCTAGTCACTTGTTTAATAAAAAACCCCATATACATAAACCCACATACAAATCTGGCTTTACGCATGCCTAACTCTCTCTACATTCCTATTTCTGAATTCTGAATCACAGATTAGATTTTGGTGCAGGTTTTTTTTTGTTTGCTTTTGGTCTTTTTTAAAAAAAAAAAATCCCAGGTAACAAAAGACTCCATCTCTAGACATTTCCTATTGAAAGGGTTGTCTTGAGGGAAAAAAAGTTCAGTAAAAGACTAACATCTGCATTTACTCACAGAAAAATGTCAGGGTTGTTTTGCAGAACAAGTCCATTTTTTAATTGCAGATCCATTAGCAATCGCCTACTTTTTTTTAAAGTCGTCTTTTACAAGAAGTGTTGCAGCCTTTTTTCCATTAGGCTATGAAATGGCTGGAATGTGACGAGCACTGTGCGATATACGCATTAATCAAAAGACTGCCGGGGCAAAAGTATGCAACTGCAGGGGAGGACCTGTGGTCACAGCCTAACATGTTAGATTAGAAAAAGAAAATAGTTGCTGTTTACCACCTTAAACAAAAAGTTATGAACAGCAAGCTTAAATAGATATAATTGGCTTTATTATATGCCAGCACCAATATCTTAATTCCCAAGCTTTTTAATATATCTCTAGAGTACTCTATGTGCTGGTACTAGCACTATAATACTCCACACACTACTTGAATCACAGGGCTAAGAAAAGCATTGTTTTATCCAAAACTATTTCCGAAAGTTTATTTATAACATACTTATAAATAAGTTTTGCCCAAGGTATAAAAACAAAAAGTAGGCAGCTTTTCCCAAAAAAAAAAAAAAAAAAAATCTATTTCACTGTAACCACAAAAGGTTTACTTACATGAAATGTCAGTTACTCATTTAACTAAATTAGCTGAATGAACTGTAGCAAACAAAAATTTTTCTGCATTTTATAGAAGTATATTGCTGTGAAAAAGCCAGTTAAATACTTATATGCACATGTTCTAGGTGCGCAAAGTTATTTCCATTAAGACAGCTGTCTAAATCATACACTGTTTTCATAACAAACATGCCCTTTAAACTTGTTTTGATTAAGTGTCCTGTTTTATTTTTATAAATAAAATCCAATTTGTTTAATCTAGTCTGCTTTTTTTTTTTTAAGATGAAAAGATTAAAGACTTGGCAAAGATCTGCCAAATTAGTTGTTGGCACTTAGGAAACATTTTCAAAACTAAAAATACAGACAATCAGGTCAATATTCTCATTTAAAACACATATCTTTAGCAGAGGCTCTATGTATTAACACACAAAAAAAACCAACCACAAAAAAGCAAAACTAAAATCAGTATTTTAAAAAAGACTGAATAAAAGTTGTTTAACATCTCTATAATTCACTAGCACCTGCCCAGTTTTATTTGGGGTTCTCCTAACAAAGCTTAGAGATTTGTGAAAGTGACTAAGCACTCTCACCTGGACAGCAAAAGTGGAAAGATGGAAAGAGGCAGGAGCAGTGTAGATCAGAAATTCAGTATAACCAAACAGACAAACTGCAAAAAATTTCACATACTAGCAGTTATTTTTTGGACAAAGTCATAGGCTAGCAAGTTTCTTGGAGACCAAAGAGTTGTATATGTAAATTTTAAAAAAATCTGGCCTCTCCAATTCAGGTATTAAGTATTAACAATAATGGACTCAAATCCTCTCTATGAAATCATATTATTTTGTAAGCGTGCACGCGCGCGCATGCATAAATGTATTCGTAAGGCAACATCCCTAGCCGTGACACTAATCAGGAACAGTCAGCTTTCAGAATAAAAAATGAAAATTCTTCTTTTGCAATTCAGCAGAAGTGTCAGATGTCAGAATGGTTAAAACCTTTTTTTTTTTTTAAGTTTGCAACAACTCAACATCACAGTTGAGTATAATCAAAAACAGCACTCTTAACAGGAGTGCTAAACTATTATAAATCCTCTCTTCTTAAATCTTAAGTCTACCTGATCCAAATTGTTACTATAATTCTCTCTGGCAAGGAAATAACGGTAGTATGTTTGTATGCCTGTCAATATTAAGTCATGACTGCTCTGATTGAAATAGATGCCTATGAAGCCCTAGTTCAGCTCCCTGGTGCACATATGGATATATCATGATTTAGTCTAATTACATCTCCTAAAGCTCCTTGCCTTTCCAGTTCAAAGAACAGACCATATTCACTCAGCAAGCTAGTCAATACTTCTGCCCTATGCACATACTTTTAAGCCTTATTTACTGCAATTCAGAGTAGAGACAGACATCGTTAGTTTTTTGATTTTCATTGTATCCGAACACTAAGGGGACCAGCTTTAGTTAAGTCATGCAATTTACTACTGTGTTTTTACAAAATATGCTGACTGCAGAACAATGACAAGACCCCAGCTTCGATTACAAAAGTGAAGAGGAGTTTGTCCTCGTAGACAAAACCATCTAGTCATTTTCCCTCAAGGTGCATCTTATACCATACGTTGCTATTTCCTAATTTACCTCTTTCCACATACACACCTCTATATTCTTGTCTCCAGTGTTTGGTGTTTTTCTTCTTACATCAAGTATTCACACAATCCTAGCTTCCATTCACACCAATTTCCCCCCTTCTCTTCTTGCTGAGCCAAACCTAGTTTCCTTGTTCCAGGTTTTCACAAATATTGTCTTTCTCCAACAATCTCAGCTTCCCCCACAGCCTCTACCCATTCTATCCCCACACTGAGAGATTTTCAAAATAGCCTTTTGTCATCACAGTAACTTCTCCACCATTGTCTCTCCTGTTCAAACAGCTTCAGTCTACCCCAGCTCCTTACTGGTTCTCAAGCTTGTCAGACCCATACTCGTTACTCATTTCTCTCTCTCCTACCAGCTTCCATGCCTAGTTTCTTTGCCCATTGGTTTCCACCTAGCCCTCTCTCCAAGTTCTCAGTATCTCTAGCATGAAACCTAGCCTCAGCTTTCTAATTCCAAGTCACTCTCTTTCCTCCCTTCTGTAGTTCCAATTTGCAATTCCTCCTGTAGTCAGTCTTCAGAGCTTTTAGCCACTGCGGCTAAGCAAGTCCCAACAGAAGTCACTTCTACTGTTTGATGTCAATCTTTGCATTTTCTGCTTTGTGTTCCCTCTGAGAAGAGAATTTCACAGTCAAATATCTAATACTTCATAAAGTACAGAATCTGCTTCTTACAAAAAGATCTCTTGGACAGAAGCTGACAAGCCCTGCACTACACCAAGGTACACCTGCCTTGTTCATAACCAACTAGGAGGTTGGACATGATGACTTCCTGATGACCCTTTCAACCTGAATTTTCCTAAAAAGGGATTTGTACAATAAGGATTACCAGAGGTTATAGAATAGAGCCATATTTTAGCAGAAATGTTGCTCAGGCACATAAATGCTACAGATGAAGCCAAAAAAAAAAATCAGCAATTTGATAGCTATTTTTCACTCTGTGTTCTCTACTACCAGCCAACAGGAAAGAATAGCAACAATCTTTAGTGCAGCCCAGAAAAAAGGCACCTTTTTAAAGCAGTCTGGATCTTAGAACAGGTATAGATTTGGAAATCTGAACCGGACTCCTGCAAATCCCCAGTGCCTCTTTTTCACCCCAGTGACACACCACATTTTAGATAAAGAGATACTTATGTTTGAGGAAGAAAGGTTAGAAAGTTTTTCTACACAAGCACAGGTGAAGCAATGACAGCTACAAAATGAACAATTTCAGAATCTACTTCTTCAAAAACTACTAACATTACATTTTCATCAATGCCTAAGTGCCAAGGTAAGCAGATTTTCACAATCAACATCAATACTTCAAGAGAAAATGTAAGTTATATTAGGTGACAATTGATAATGCAAGACAGCCAGAATAAGAAGAAACCACTGGCATACATCTCTTTAAAATATTAAAAACTCTTGCGTTTTGATTTTAAATGACAGTAAGTGTTTATTCATTGCTTATTCTGGTCTGTGCTTCATCAAACATAATAAAATTGGGTATTACTTGCATGGTTTTCCCCAGCCTAAAGAGGATGGAGTAATCCACTGAATTCATTAGTTATCTACAGGGTATTTAACTGTTCCCCAAACGGATCGGTTTTGAAAAGCCACTTGCCGAGGCACATAGCCTGATGCTTGACTAAATAAATAAAAAACTCCAAACCACCACAAATCCAAAGGAGCAGAAGACTTTAAATCTGTATAGGAAGAATTAGCTAAATTAGGTTTTCAGGCCTAAAAGAACATTAATATCAACTAAATATTTTCTCCATTAGCCCATTCATTGCATTTTACATACCTAGTGTCTTCACAGTATAATGAGGACTCTCCAAAACAATTCCTTCTTCTGTGTCAAATATTGGATTATCTATTCCAGTTTTAGGAGGAATTTGTGCTAGTTTCTTTAGCCTCATGGAAGCAGTAAGGTCCAGTTCTTGTTTCTTTCCCTCTTCTTCCCGTCTGCGTCTTATGTCCTCCTGCTGCTGACGGATTCTCTCAAGTTGAGCGCTCCGCCTCATGGGCATCATCCTGGAGCCCAAATCCCCAGGGCAATCAACAGCCATTTCTCTGTGCTTCTGAGGTTCCTCAGGAGATACAAGATCCACATTTTTTGCTTCACTGTCAGAATCTTCTGTGATATGTCCATTCATATGAGAAGTTGTCATGATTATTTCTAGTTATGCTTATTCTCTTCAAACAGAAATGCTACTATTAGGCCAGTTTTTGTTATGTTGTTGTGTAGAATCCATTATAACTTCAAAAATATTTCCCTTCCATCACAAGACAGCTGAAGAAACATCCAGGAAGAAAATCTAATGAAAGATATTCAAAAGAAGTCAGTGAATAACTGCATTAATAAGAAAAAATAAGAAAACACCTAAGACAGTTCTCCAGGTCCCCAGGCATCAGAACAATGGTACTTTTTCTCCACATTTACAGTGCTTCTTCCCCTACTAAGAACTATAGAACCCTCACAAATCTGTTTCACACATTTTCGTAAACTTCACATGACAATGTTAGAAAAGGAGTACTGTTCAAACTAATGCTAACATCTCTTACATTTCCCAGTCAAAGCAGTGGAGATTCTGCACTTAACAGAAGTGCAAATCAGCAGTTTTCTGAAAGTTCCCACTCAGTTCTAATTTATCTTTTTATTCTTAAAAATTTCAACACAAACCATGCTTACAATCATACAAACACTAAATATGAATAACTTGTTATAAACAACATGTTCACAAGAGGTTTAATAAGTTAAACACAAGTAAAGATATTTGCATTTATTGTTCATAAATTGAGCCATTTTTATGCAAACATTGCTCCCCAGGTTCAGAGAAGACAGGTCTGGCACAGAGTTCTTCCAAAAGATACTATCTAAAGCACTCTGGAGTGGCACTTACACAATTCCAAGTAGGGATAAAGTCCTAGGATAAGGGTTGGACAGTTCTGGTTACCAGCTACTCCTAATACTTCCGATAGGTATGCATTAAAGCAGAAAGGATTAAACACCAGAGCAAAAATCCTTGTGTGGGCGTACAGAGGCAGAGATTTGACAGAGAACAATAATTAATTTCCACAGTCAAGTAGTGACATTCCACTATACTCTTTACATCTTAAGCTGGTTTCTCATTCCTGATGATTCAGGCCAAAGAACTTAAGTGTGCTGATAAATATAACCACTCAGCTCTTAAATATAATACATATAACAATGTGTTTTATACCATATTGCCATTCTGTTATCACAAAGCCAATGATACGTTATCCTCAATATGTCCAATTAAAAGGCCATAAAATTAGTAAGTATTTGTATACAGTATTACCAATACACTTACTTTTTCAAGTTCATTTTTATCTTTTTTTTTAATTTCCTGAAAGGAAATACTACAAAATATCTCGAAGTTTTATTATACACTGGAAGCACCAAGACAAAAAAAACCCCAACAACCAACTTTCTTGAACCAAATGTTTATGTTTGGAGGAGGAAGGGAAAGATGTTTATGTTGTAATTAAGTTGAAAATTAAATACCAATAATAGTCTTTTGGAGGAGCAGCAATAGAAACTCCTACACAAGTTTCTGCCAGCTTGCAATTCTGAATAAGTAGAGCTTTTCATTTTCATAAGGAGTAGTATACAGCTACATACAGCAACACTAAAACAATTTTCTTTACTTGTTTCCTGTCTTGCCACTACTACCAGTTATTACTAAGATCTTCCAAAAAGTAAACATTAAAGCATTTCTATGGTAGTAAAAATTCCTTTTTGCCTTTAAAAGATACTTAATTGCACTGCACTGATATGTAAAAATTATTCCAATGTTCAATATACCCACAATCAGAAAAAATTCAGGCAACAAAAAAAGCCTATCAAAAGCTGCATGGTAGTGGGGCTAGCACTGCAAGTACCACACAATTATTTGGCACCTGTAGAACTTTCAGTTAGCGCCCAACTTAAAAAGAACAGCTTTTCAAAGAATAAAGTCACATAAAGTTAACATTCAGACAGGGTTATATAATGCACCATATATCAAAAAACACTCTCTGAAATTCAGAGAAAGGCAGGTAAGAATTTAGCAAAATGATTCTCAGAAAGCCACATTTCCCCTTCTGTAAAGGCAACTTCACCGTACAGAAATACCAATCCCAAAAAAGGAAGTCTCATGGAGTACAATAAAATTGCAAAGAGCACTAATTTAACTGCGGGTGGAAGATAATTCAAATTCTCTTTCATCCACATTGTACTGGCCATAGCTTGTCTGAAGACCGAGCCTTTTGAAAGTTACATTCATCTTTTTTTCAACTCTGACAGGCTGAAAGAAAACTCACATTCCTCAGTCCATATGGTACAACTAACAGGTGTCGAAGCAATTTGAGGGAATGAATAATATCCATTTACTCAGCACTAAAGAAGTCAAAACCACTCTCTGAGGATATGCAAGAAGTAAAATGCAACTTTAAAGATACCATCATAACACTCAATCATGTGTAAGCTAAATAATGTCACACTCACTAAAGATAAAGAATCTACACATCAGAAAATGAAGTTGATGGCCAATATTTAATAACTGATCAGAAATATTTAAGGTGGGATTAGCTACATTTCCTCCATGAAATTTAAAAGTATTAGCTACCTAAGACAAAGAGTATCTTTTGAGGTTAAGTCAGAAAAAAGGCTCAACAAAAACTCATGTATCTGTATATATACTGAGAAGTTTTTAAATCTCTTTCATTTAGTAATAAGCACTGAAGACCAGAGAAACAAAAATATAATCTGAGGTAAATATTAGTAATAGGCAACCATTAGTAACATTGCTTACATTTTCAGTATAAGCTCCATGCAAGATGCAAAGGGCATATAAATTCTTGGAACAGAGTAACCGAGACATTTAAGTGGCCTGTGATAATAGCTGCTCACTTTCAGTATTTAAGATCCGAGTTAAATCAGTTATGGAAGAAACAAAAGTTACAGAAAATTAGAGTTCTCCTGCAGTCACACTTTAACAGCAATATTCAGAAAACCGGCATCAAAATTTAAGAGAGTTTTAGGAGAATTTTAAATAGAAAGTTTTTTTGATATCCCAGAAAGTTAGATGTCTCTGAAGCAAGAAACAGTACAGGCAAAATAATCACACTCAGATAATACAAAAGATGATATGAAGTATCACTCATCAGGCAGCCTAAAATTTGATGTTACCGAAATATCAAACCAACTCCACAACAACCCAACTCCCCAGATATAACTAGTTGGTATCCATAAAAGCATAGGCATGCTGCAAGTCCGGAATGCTGGAACAACTTCTTTTAATCAAAGAACTTCTGATAACGGGTAACCCCTTCCAAACCTAAGCCCACTGTTCTTTCTGCTGTCTCGAGTCTGCTTCAGACATCACAAATCTGCATCTCAAACAGTTCTGGAAAAATGCTACCGCTCAACTGCAACAAATGAAATAAGCACATAAGGAAAAAAATTCAGATCAGCTCTGAAGTCCCTCTCTACAGTGGTCCTAAGGAATTTAAAATGTAAAATATGACACTGATAAAATGTTAACTTGGTCCTCAAATTAAGGTGTGGTGTAGCTGAGGTTAAAAATAAGATTCAGCTCGAGGCAGGCACCAGGAACAGAAAGTTTTATTCTAACCAATAAGCATGGCATCAAAAGTCTTATGATAAATAATTTCAGAAACAGTTTTCCTGGCTTTTCTTTCTGAAGGTTTCTTTTGCAATTTTAAATATCCCAAGATAAGAACAATAAGGGAAGGTTGTTATACCAAGTCTGTTCTCCGCAAGTTGTGGATCATCCAATAAACCAGCTTTGCAGCCCAAGAGGAGCTTATTTTGTTACATTATATCTTATACTAAGGAGAAAAAATTACAGACATACTCAATAATACTGATTTTTTACTACATCATATGTAAAATATATAGAATAATATTTGGAATTAACAGAATTCTTTTCTACTTTAGAACTTGGTATTAGCAGTTTTTATACTCTTTAGATATGTACAAGTCTCTCTGTTATAGGCAGTTTGGTTGCTCAAAGTTTAATAGGGTTAAATTGTGGCTTTGACTGTCTTCCTTTGAATTGCTGATATTTAACAGGGGAATCTTAGCATTTCCACATGACACGCAGATCTTTCCAAATAAAGCAAATTTGTGACTGTTGTCTGTCCAACTTCATATCACAATTCTTACCAATGTGGTAAGAGCACATGTGAAAGTCTCTTCTTCACAGACCACTTTTATTATTCAAATTTTTGCCCTACAGAGGACAGTTTGTATAAACGGCTAACATAAGTAGAGCTACTGAGAAAGAGCATTTCAGTCACTCCGATCACCATCAGGCATTACACAAGAATTTCACTGTGAAGTAATTGTGAACAGCAAACAAACCATATTTCTGATGCAAGTTCAAAACAACAAAATTAAAGAAAAAAACACGACTACTGCCTTACTAACTACACTTACTATTCTCAAAAATACTGTATTTTACAAGGCACGCATCATTCTTCATACTGACTCCCAATGTCAGGCTTCTGTCATCTCTTTAACCACCCTGAATACACTAAACAAGGCACAGACCCCAAAAGCTCTGTCAAAGAATGAACACACATAAATGCAATCATCTTGGTGTGCAAGACAGATGCTAGTATAAAATACATACAGAAACAGAAGTGCTGTAAGGTGGTTCAAGTTTTCATTTGCTTCCTGGGGACTGTGGCTGGCGTGCATAGCAATCCTAATTACTTTAACAACTAAATTCAGTATAGTAAAATTAAATTTGTTTTGCTTCAGCAACTTCCAAAGAGAAAAAATGACATTTTCTGGAGGCTGAGGTTTTGTGTTACATTTCGGTGGTGTTTAAAATTCCTTCAATGCTAGAAATATGATTAGACTTGATAGTTCCCTTTTTAAAATTCATTAAAGCTGCAAATTCTGAATGACTGCAAGGAGTTCAGTGCTCACCTCCAACTGAATTTCATTAGTTTTGGCACAGTTGAGAGTATAAAAGCCCAACCTACATCTGTAATTATATTATAAACACAAGAAATACATATTTAACATCAGGCACAGTGCAAAGGATTTATCATCAGCTGAAAACCATATACTATGACAGACACAGTATATTAAAATATTCATTAAAAACAATTGGAAGAGGACTTCTAGGTTGCTGAAGTGAATTAAAAGTTAGATTAAAATCACACACAAGATGCTTCCTGATATCTGAATTACTAACAAAATATGAGCATAAAATTATGCTAGAGATCTCTACCACGTATTATTAATGCCTCATGTAATGGTGGATCTTCTGGTATTTTTAC